CCATAGCTGACCTGCACATTGTGGGGGGAGAAATGAGGCAAAGAGGGAAGTGGTCACAGCCCAGGTCACTCTCCACCTTCTTTGCTTAGGGTTAGTGCACTAAAGTTTCCCAAATGCTGCTCAGGATGGTGGTAAAAGAACTCAAATAGATCCACCCTGAGTGCATTTACCAAGAGAGCCATAAACTGACCCATTGCAGAGCTGTCTCCTTCCACTGCCACTTGTGTCCCTCCTCACAGCTCCAGCCCTTATCGTTAGAGACAAGGATAATTAGCTGCTTTCTAATGACACACTCAAGGTTCAGTAATCCCTTAGCTCAGGGCTGTACTTCCCTGCCCATTAGAGCTGTTGTGGTACTTGGGTGTTTAGTCACAGATGTATTTTCATGGGTTCCTCCTGTTATTCCCATTTCACCTGGATCAGAGTGGTCTGAGTTGTCCCACTGGGAAGTTAGACACTGGAGTGTGTCCAGGAGGGAAGTTTAATGACCTGCTCTGTGGCAAAAACTGGAATCTCTATTTAACAATTCCTAGAGCATCAACAATTTGTTGATCCAAACCTTTCCCTAGCAGAAAGGAGAAGTCCTGCCCCTCCAGAGAGGTTCTTTACCTGTGGGATCAAGAGGGCACCAAAGAGTTTGGCTGTCACCAGGCTGAGGCTTGACTTGTGTGGCCCAATGACTGCAGTCACCCTGGGCTGGTAGTCGGTGTAGTTGCACTGGATTCCGATGCCTGTGGTGCCGTTTTGGGTCAGGAGGAGCAGAGTGGGCTGCAGGGCCACCAGGGGCTCAAAGCAGGTGTCATAGATGTCATAGCCCAGTGTTACTCCAGGGAGGAGGGAGCTGGAATTGTTGATCTGATCGATGGCAAACCTCATCCCCAGAGCCCAGATCATCCCATCCACAAAAAACCTGCTGGGAGAGGAGACAGGAATTTGAAGGATGTCAGGGCTGTGACCCCAGGGATGTCAGGGATGTACCCTAAGGATGTCAGGGCTGTGACCCCAGGGATGTCAGGGCTGTGACCCCAGGGGTGTCAGGGATGTACCCTAAGGATGTCAGGGCTGTGACCCCAGGGATGTCAGGGCTGTGACCCCAGGGGTGTCAGGGATGTACCCTAAGGATGTCAGGGCTGTGACCCCAAGGATATTAGGGCTGTTACAGTGGTAGTTGACTTATTCCACAATCTTTGCCCCTTTGGCATCCTGTCTGTGGCCAACAGACATTTATTTGACTGTCAGCAGAACATCCCTGTACCCTTTGTGAGTTGTCCAGTGAGTAGAGAGTTTGAGCATCTTTCAAGTCTAATTAATCTTGTCTGGCAGCAAATGTATCCTTGGAGCTTCACAAGAGAAGGGACAGAGGTATAGACAAGCATCTATATATAAATTAACCATATATAAACAAACCAGTTTGTTTAGCTGTGAGGGTCAACATTTGGGCAACCTGCTCTTATCTTTGTGTTCTTCAGCCAGACAAAGTGACATTCCCAAAGTGCTAATTCAGGAGAGATGTCCTTCTTTGGGATTTCCTCCACTATATCAGTGCACTGAGCATATTCCCTGCAAAGATGGAAAGATTTTGGGCTCTGCTTTCTGTGCTTTGCCTTGTGCACAGTGCTGAGTGTCCTTTTACCTCCTAAAAGGCAAGAACACCATCCCCAAGTGTCATCTGCCCACGGAGAGCAGCATGTGGAGGCACAAGCAACATTTGCACCTCTGTGTGTTAGATTCAAGCCCTAGTGAAGCCTAAAAGCTCCCATCAAAATGAAATTAGTTGTGTCTGAAGTTTGACAGCAGAGCAGCAGCAAGAAAACACACTTTGCATTTTGGGATGAGTTGATGTCCTGTACCCCAGAACTCATCGTTGTTCCCATCTCCCCTTTAGTGTTGGCTGTTGCCACTGGTAGAAGCACTTTCCTTTCCCTCCCATTCCAAGCAACCAAAAAGGACACACTCTTACCTTTCACAGCCCATCAGGGTGGGCTCCCTGCGTGCTGCCAGGTTCATGATGTCCTTGCCAAAAGGGAACAGCCCTCCCAGGATGAAGTCCCCAGGCCTTCGGAACTGAGCCGACAGGCACGTCCCTTCCAGAGCTGCTGCACAGCCAAAGCTCAGCCACAGCACCAGCTCAGGCAGCATTTTTTGGGGCTATTCTGGGGGGGAAAATCTCCAAGTGAATGTGTGGAGAGGGAAGAGGAGCAGAGATCCAGGCTCAGCAGTTCCAGGAAAGCCTCTTTAAATAGAGCTCGGGGATGAAAATGAGGAAGAATTTGGTTAGCAAAGTGCTTGAAATTAACTCTGTGCTTAGAGGGTAATAGGCAAATATGCAGCAATCCCCTCTGAGTGCTCCTGGCTGGAAAGCACTGGCCTTAGTCTGGTTTTCTTTACTCACTTGAGCAGTTTTTACCCAGAGTGACTTAGCAAATCCATTGTCACAGCTCTGGAAATTGTCCTTCCTCTGGGATAGGTGGTAAACTCAGGTGCTCCATTCTAATAGTAGGAAGAGACTTGCACAGCAGTAAATTTTGGTTATGTTTTCTTGAAATTCAAGGTCAACTCAGCGTGGAGATAACCAAATCTTTCTCGGGCCATGGCAGGAATTTGCCTGGAGGCAAAATTCCCAGGCTGTTCCCAGGTCACGAGGTTGGTGAGCTACACTGCTATTCTTTAGGAAGTTGTTATTTATATGTACATATAATCTTATAGAAATGATAAAATACATATATTTTTACCTATAATATACTTATTAGTGATACTATTATTATTAGTGATCTAATTTTTTCCTCACAACTTAGGTATGATATTAATTTCAGTTTGAACCCTTTGGGTTTACGTTGCATAATTTGCATTTTTTTCTGTCGGGTTTGAATTTTAGAACATAATAGCTCTGGATGAAGTTTAATTTACTGTATTTTAGTGGCTTATTGTACATTGATAACAGCAAGGGAGGCCAAGAATGTTGTAGTTTGTAATATGGAACTGCTCCATTTGAATACATGGATTTATCCAGTGGAAATGTGGAATCATTTTAAGGTGGTCTTAGCAGAAAGGGAATATTGGTAATTTCACAGCATATTAGGAACTAAACCTCCTTTTAGGGTGTGCTAGGAAATTCCATTTCCTATCTTCAGGCAGATGTTGTAGCTGTGAGGATTCAGAACAGGAATCTGAACTGATCTGGTGTGACACAAGTTTCACACCTGATCTCCAGGGAAAGGAAATCTGAGTTAGGTAACCCTGTAAATCATGTTCCTTCCAAGCCCAGAGCACATTCCCATAAAGAACACTCCTCAGAAGCAGATTATTCACAGAATTTAATGTCCAGTTGGTCCAGTCTCCATGAGGTGATAGTGATTTCCTGAATCACACAGTTCCATTAGCCCCAAAAGATACAAGCAGAACATGCTACAGCCCCAAGTCCTCATGTCATCCTGGACTGACCCTGTAGTGCTCTTTCAGCTTTCAAGAGGCTCAGAAATTCCACTTCACATCCTTTGGCTGTGACAGAGTGATTTGCAGTGCAAGTCATGAGCCTCACAAAGCAGTGACTTACAGTACAGGTTTGGATTTCTCCCCAGACAGGCAGAGAAATCATTTTCATAGGCATTTGACACATTCATTGAGAAAAGTCACAAGAGAACACAATTTAGAGGCATGATTGGAAAAGAGCTCAAGTGTAGTCTGCAGCCTTGACTGGATGCAGGGGATTGTGTAGCACAGATTCAGAACTGTTCCACATCCCAACGTGCAAAAAGCATGGATGAAGGGGCAGGGGAGGCACAGAAGGAAGGTGATGCTGAGTGGATCCATCACATCCACCCACACCTCCTTCTGCAGCTCTAGGGGACACAGAATTAGCAGCAGTGCTCAGAAGGCTGTGTGACCACAAGGAAAGGAGTTTCCTTCCCCACATGCATTATTTGGGATTATATTCTCCAGGTTAAAGCCTAACAGGGGGCAAAACCCTTCAGGTGTATCTAAGGGAACAGCTTATCAATAAAAGTGGCCAAATGAGCTCAGGTGCAGTGCAAATGTGCTCAGGCACCACATCTCAAAGTTGTGCTGGCACACAAGGCCTGAACTATTGGTGTAGTGCACAGAAGCTGCTGAAATTGCAGAGTTTGGCTTTAAAAAAAAAAGAAACAACTCTCTCCTCCAGCCTAGCTGGGGATGACACCAGAAACAAACACAGAGTGACACCACAGACTAACTGGGAGTGACATTCCCCCAGTCTAGCTGGGGGTGACACCAGAAACAAGCACGGGGTGACACCCCAGACTAGCTGGGGGTGACATCCCTTCCCCAGCCTAGCTGGGGGTGACTCCAGGAACAAAAAAAAAATCCCTTAAGCAGCTGATATTGGTCTTTTCTTACATGTAGAGCTCTACACACACTGACAGATATATATATATATATACACACATAGATATAAAAAGAACTGGTACATATTCTTTTGTAAAGCTGAGCCATCCTGCTCAGCTTGGATAGCTCATCAGCTCCTTCCTGGCAAGGAAAAGGAAAGTGAAAGTGACCATGGGCACAGGATCAGCTTTGTGAAACCGTCAGATTCCCACCCAGGATCAGCTTTGTGAAACCATCAGATTCCCACCCAGGATCAGCTTTGTGAAACCATCAGATTCCCACCCAGGATCAGCTTTGTGAAACCATCAGATTCCCACCCAGGATCAGCTTTGTGAAACCATCAGATTCCCACCCAGGATCAGCTTTGTGAAACCATCAGATTCCCACCCAGGATCAGCTTTGTGAAACCATCAGATTCCCACCCAGGATCAGCTTTGTGAAACCATCAGATTCCCACCCAGGATCAGCTTTGTGAAACCATCAGATTCCCACCCAGGATCAGCTTTGTGAAACCATCAGATTCCCACCCAGGATCAGCTTTGTGAAACCATCAGATTCCCACCCAGGATCAGCTTTGTGAAACCATCAGATTCCCACCCAGGATCAGCTTTGTGAAACCATCAGATTCCCACCCAGGATCAGCTTTGTGAAACCATCAGATTGGGAATAGCCTCTCCCAGCATAGCCACAGCCTCCTCGGGAGTTCCCACGTTCATGATCTCCAGGAAGGCATCCCGGGAGGGCAGTGCACAGAAGGCCAGGGTGGCTGCTTTGCGGACCACCCAGGGGTGGTGTGCGGCCAGGGAGGCGTTGTAGGCCTCGGTGCAGAGGGTGGAGGGTCGCGAGTCGTGCCCAGCCGAGCGCAGCCCCTCCAGGAAGAGCTGCAGCCAGCGCAGGGCGCGGTGCAGGCGCAGCACGG